GGGGCCGCCCCCGAGCAGCCGTGGGGGAGGGGCGCGGAGGGGGCCCCGCGCGTGCGCAGAGGGTCCGTTGGGGGGCTCCAACGGTCGCACCTCGGGGCGGGCCCGATCCCGGGAGCGGAGCCGTCTCCAGGTGCGGGGGAGCCAGGCTCAGGCTCGTACGTGCGGGCGCGGAGCTGGGGAAGCAACAAAAGGCCGCGGGTTCGGAGACGCCGGGCTGCTCCCGCCGGGAGGGTGGGGTGGGGGGTGCTTCGCTATTCAAACAGGCAGGGCCCGAGGGGGCCCGGAGGCCGCAGTGTGCGCCTGGCTGCTTCTCTTCCCCCACTCCTTGGAGAGAACAGTGACAGCCCCTTCCTTCAAGGAAATGCTTAGGCTCTGCCATGTTAGGAGCATGGCATTACAAAACCAGCAGGAGAGGAGTTTGGCTTGTCCAGCTTCCCCAGAGCAAAATCCTTTGCTTCTCTCACCATAAACTTGGCGATTTGTTTGCATAACAGAACGGTGTCTAATTCGGCCGACTCGCAGACTTTTTTTTTTTTCAATGCGGTCTGCAGAGAGACTGTGCTATAATTATCTTCTGTTTATCTCTCCATTACTCTTGACAGCAAAGAGTTAGCAGCTTGCTGTTATTTTCCCTTTCCATCCTTTTAATCACCTTTCCTACAGAGATTTAAGAAATGTGTGTTGTGCTCCTCCCGTGCAGTTGTTTAGGTGGAAAAACTAGACCTGAAGTTATTTGCTGAGGTGCTGTGGTAAGCAAGCATTGTTAGGGCCTCGCTGGCACAGTTAACATATTAGAGTGATTCGGCACTGTAAACTCTCCACCTATTTTATTTAACTCTTAATTGATCCAAAAATGAGATGTAAATAGGATGTTTTAGAAATCTCTTGACTTCTCTCCCAATTTAAAAAATTACATTTGAATATGTAAGGACTTCCATTATTGGCCACCTTCAATTCAAAATTGGTAAAACAACTTCTAAACTATTGTATTAAGAGAGTGGAGGATACACCTAGAGCTCAAGTGTTAAGCAACATGATCCTTGTTTCCTCTTGAGCTGAGCTTGGAGGAAATTAGCCCTGCTGATGAGGGTTAATGCGTGTTCTTACCAGCATAGTACAAAAAGTGTCAGGTTGCAATCCTTTGTGCATGGCATCTAGCCACTATAGGCAGCTTGCACTCTCAGTTTGGTTGTCTCTGTTAATCTTGGTATGTTTAAAAGAAAGTGTCCATGCTGTGCTACTAATTAGGAGCCTTGGGTTCAAAAGCAGGCTCCTTATTCCACCTGCTGAGCCAGTGGAGATTGATTGGTATATGAAAGTGGCTTCTTTAGATTCAGAAAGTTGGATTCCTAGCAGTGCTGCATTTTGCATCCAATATCAGTTAAGGGTGTTGATTTTTAAGTGAGCTAGCTGCCTGATCTTCTCTTCTCTTACGGGAGGTGAAATGTTCAGGCACACGAGTGAGGGCGTAATTATGTATTGCTCTTATTCTTGTCATTTTTGACGCACACAACAAATCAGTTATTTGATGAAACAATATACCTCCTCCATCAAACATGAAAGGCCAAAGTAAAAGATAATAGAGGTTTGGAAAAAAATTGGCCTGCAAACACTTTCTGGTAAGGACCTTTTGGTTGCACCTTTGCATACCTTTCAAAATAGAATTCTGGGGGAAAAGAGTAGAAAATTTTGTTATGGGTGTTACTGTCATTATCATGTCCACCTGAAGGTAACCTTCATTTAGGTTAAAAAGTAAGATACCCTGCACCCCCAAGCTAAAGTCTAAATATATCTAAGTCCAGATAAATAAAAAGGCATTACTACAAGTTTCTGTTTATTTTTTATTATTTTAGTTTTATGCAATATCAACAGAACCTATTTGGTATAACCACACTGAAGATAAAGACTAGCCAGTGTGGTCTTCTTTTATTTTAATGCATCTTAGCAGATGCAAACCTGCATTTCATTTTGGCACCCTCTGGGCTTAAAGGTGAACTACATAAGTCATGTACATGCCACATAATGAATTGGATAGAACTATAATTTCAGAAATGTTTTGAGTTTGCAGAACTGCCATATTGGTTGTAGCATGAAAGTAGTGTTTCATGTTTTTGTTGTTTGACTACCTTGCATGCATTTTTTTTAAGAAAGATTAAAGAGAGAGAATGGTTATTAATTTTGAAATAATTATTTTATCCACCAAGTGACATTGAACTCCTGAGCAAAAACTGCTATTTTTAGTGTTGTAGTTGAATGTGCTTTTATCAAACTTACTTTTTAAGGCCAAACCCTGAGATGTTAATGTGGCACATAGTGAGGGAGCTAAACTCATTATTCAGAAATGGATATAAAGAAAATTAAAGTGAGGGTCTTACCTGTGAGATCTAGGACAAAAAAAAAATTCAAAAACTCAGTTCTGTCCTCTCTTTCATCCCCTGGAAGCTATTTCTATTAAGGAGGTATCATAGAAAATTAGGGTTGGAAGGAACCTCAGGAGGTGACTTAGATTCTAATCCAACCCCCTGCTCAGAGCAGATCTATCCCTATCTAGGTCAATCCAGCCAGAGATTTGTCAAACTAGGCCTTAAAAACAACCAAGGATGGAGATTCCACTGCCTCTCTAGGTAACTTTTGTTTCAGTGCTTCACCACCCTCCTAGTGAGAGAGAGTTTTTTCCTAATGTCCAACCTAAACCTCCCTTGCTGCAACTTGAGACTGCTTGTTGTTCCTGTTCTTTCATTTGTCTCCACTGAAAACAGTCTAGCTCCATCCTCTTTGGAACCCTCCTTCAGTAGTTGAAGGTTGCTGTTAAATCCCCCCTCAGTCTTCTCTTCTTCAGCCTAAATAAGCCCAGTTCCCTCAGCCTCTCCTCAAAAGCCATGTATCCCAGTGCCCTAACCATTTTTGTTGCCCTCTACTGGACTTGCTCCAACTTGTCCACATCCAGGGGCAACGTGTTCATAGCGTGGTGGTGCACTCCCTGCAAAAAGGCACCACTGCCAGTGTCGGCAGCGCCTGCAGGCAGTTGCCACTCACCACCCCACCGGCGGCGGTGTCTGTGGGTGGTCCGTGATCCCTGCTGGTTGCTGCTGCGCTCCCACTACCGCTGTGCCCCTGGAGCCACCGGGGGCACTCACTCACACACCTTTCATGTCCACATTCTTTCTATAGTGGCGGCCCAAAACTGGACACTGTACTCCAGATGTGGCTTCACCAATGCCAAATACAGGGGAATAATTACTTCCTTTGATCAACTGGCAACATTCCTACTAATGCAGCCCAGTATGCTGTTTGCCTTCTTGGCAGTAAGGTTACACTGTTGATTCATATCCATCTTATTATCCACTGTAACTCCCAGGTCCTTTTTGCAGAGCTACTGCTTAGCAGTTGGTCCCAGGCCTGTAGCTATGCATGAGATTCATCTGTCCTAAGTGCAGGGCTTTGGTGAACCTCATGATATTTCTTTTGGCCCAATCCTCCCATTTGTCTAGGTCGGGGGTGTCCAACCTTTTTGAATGTGGGGCCGGATCATGAACTTTTTATCACCCAATGGCGAGCCATATTCAAAGGCCTCACAGGAAGCAGTATCATATCACCCCCCCCACCCCCCCAATGACAGTACAGTGTTTACTTTTGTTTCCCATTGCAGCACCTTGGGCCTCAGAAAACAGCTTGGAGGGCCATGTGGCAGCCCGTGGGTCGTATGTTGGATAAGCCTGGTCTAGGTCACTCTGAATCCTAGTGCTACGCTCCAACCTATCTATCACACCCCCTGGCTTCGTGTCATCCTTGAATTTGCTTATGATTCAATGCATCCCATCTTCCAGATGGTCGATGAAGATGTTGAACAAAACTGGCCCCAGGACTGACCCCTGGGGCCTTCTACTTGATATTGGCTGCCAACTCGACGTCAAGCAGTTGATCACTACCCGTTGAACCTGGCATTCCAGGCAGTTTTCTATCCACCTTACAGTCCATTCAGCCAACCCATACTTACTTCCTCAGCTTGCTTGCAAGGATGCTGTGGGAGACTATATCAAAAACCTTACATATATGTATATCACATCCACTGCTTCCCCCGCATCCACAGAGCCAGTTTTCTCATCACAAAAGGCAATCAAGTTGGTCAGGCATGACATGCCATTGGTGAAACCATGCTGACTGTTCTTAGTTACTTTCTTTTCCTTCAAGTGCTTAGAAATGGATTCCTTGAGGCCCTACTCTATGATTTTTCTGGGGACTGAGGCAAGACTGACTGGTCTGTAGTTCCCTGGATTCTCCTCCTTTCCTTTCTTCAAGGAGTTCTGTGTTTGACCTTTCCCAATCATCTGGGACCTCCCCTGATCACCACATGTTTTCATAGCTAATGGCCAGTGGCTCTGCAGTCACATCAGCCAACTCCCTCAGCAACCTCAGGTGCATCTGGCCCCATGGACTTGTACATGTCCAGCTTTTCTAAATAGTCCCTAACCTGTTCTTTTGCCAATGTTGGCTGCTCACCTCCTCCCCAAAAGGTGGAAGCTTGTTAAGGGACCCCATTTATTATATCCACTTCTGGTTATCAGGCCTTTAAAAAAATTAGCATTAAAAGCTCCTCCTCCTTTGCAGAAACTTCAGAAGGAGGGAGATTAGCCTCATCTGTGAGATTTGGCAAACAAGATTGGGAGAGTCTCTACAAGTCTGTCCCTTTTCCTTCTTGCAGCTAAGAGGTTATGTGTAGTAAGCATCCATTTCCAGTTTCCTAGCATATTTTAATTTTTGAATCATCCATCACGGGGGGTTGGCAACATCAGTAAAGCCATTGAATCAGGCTTGTGGAGCCAGAGGCTTTGCCCACTTTTTGCGGGGGGGCTTTGCCCATGCCCTGGCTAAATGGCAGAGTACTTTGCCTTTAACTCAAGCTGGGTCATTCTAGCCAGAAAACTTTTGCTGACTGCTGTTCTACCCCACTGTTCCTCAGGTGGGTTTGTGCCCTGTACTTCAGCTGTGGATTGCTAGTGATTTTACCCTCATCACAGTTGGTGAGTAGAAGCTACAGCAGTGGTGGCTGGAGGGGGGGGGTCTGGCAGTGCCTGAAGTAGTGGAGAGCCACTGTGATGATCATGCACCTCCCTTGGGAACCTCCTGTGC